TTTGATTTGATTATATGCAATATTTGATTTAATTGTAAATATCATTAGGATATTTGATTTGATTTTATATACATTTATTAAAGAATATTTGCTTGATCCTTTTTGATCATGCATGTATGTATATATAAGAATGTAGTGTTGGTTAATGGAAAATATGAAAAACATTATTCATATTATTATTTCTACACGTTCCGTCTGATAAATTGCCGTCACGGTGCGCGAGAGCCGCATATATCCCCAACTCCACAACAATTGCTTTAATAGTGTAATGATTAATGAGTCTTGACTAGGTAGAATAGGCCGCGCCTCAATCCTCACACACTTAGTAGCGTGATGGTTCGACATCCTTTCAATATGCCTCTTACATCCTTGTAAATATTTTTTTATTACGTCGTATAGTGGATCGAGAATTGTTTGAACACTACCAGACCGACGTGGATATATACCATTTGTTGTATATCCTTGCTTGTATTCTATACGGTTGAGTGTAAATCATATGCGGGATGTAATAGTAATAGAGATTGTATACAAAATATATGGTAATTGTATACGATTGGGGACTATACATATATTTAAAATTAAGATGGTTTATACAAAATTTAGGGTTAAATACAAAAACATCCTTATACTATGAACTTTATATCATATACCCCGTGTATTATATATAGATACAAAAACCCCCTACTGTTACATTATTTCCAAAATAATATTAAAATTTACACACACATATATATATATATATATGGGTTTGTTTGAACAATTTCCCACTATATTTATTTACCATTTTCAGTCCATTTTACTTGGGATATTTCGGTATTTATATTTTTTTTTTCCAAAACATCTAATTGCTTAAAAAAAAATTCATTTTCTGAATAAAACCAATTATTTTTATCATTTTGAGTTTCTTAATTTTTTCTTAAATGTCTTCAGGAAGTTCAAACATCCTAAGATTACAAACATCTTTACAATTCTATGGTTGTTGAGGGGGCGTATTGGAGATATTAATATTAATGATAGATTTCAGTAACTATTGAGGTGGTCGTTATAGAGAGAGAGAGAGAGAGAGAGAGAGAGAGAGAGAGAGAGAGAGAGAGAGAGAGAGAGAGAGAGAGAGAGAGAGAGAGAGAGAGAGAGAGAGAGAGAGAGAGAGAGAGAGAGAGAGAGAGAGAGAGAGAGAGAGAGAGAGAGAGATTTGAAGTGTGAAAGAACGACGGAAGATGAGAGAGAGAAAAAGAAGTGCGACGGCAATGGCAGGTTTGTCTTTAGATTTTTAACTCTGCAAATGATATTTTGAAAATTAGCAACACATACTTCAATCTATCTAGCATACGACCAGACGGCTAGTAAATCGACTATACAAATTACACACTAATCGACTATGATATAATCACATTCTGCTCATCAGCACAAATACTTCAATCCATCCAGCATACGACCAGACGGCTAGTAAATCGACTATACAAATCACACACTAATCGACTATGATATAATCATAGTTTTATCAGCACACATACTTCAATCCATCCAGCATACGGCCAGACGAAATCACACACTAATCGACTATCAACATTTTTAAATTTTAAGGGGGTTTCATACCAACATCAAGTTTCCGTATATCTCTTTTACCTTTCTTCTTACTGTCGCCTGCATAAAACGAGAAAAATGGCGTCATGCAAAACAAAATTAGGTTAAATAATTGAATAAAATGTAGAAGCCTAATCACTCACGACTTGATTTTTCTTTAGTCCGCATTCTCTTTGTTCGAACGATTTTTTTGTTTTGCGTTGGTGCAGCAGCGGCGTTGTTTCTTGTTATATCAAAGCCGGAACCCTAATCGATTGCATAGACGTCGTTTCAAAGAAATGGTGGTCGGAGAAGACGACTACGGCGGAGGGAGGAAGCGTGAGGCGTGGCGGTTTCCGGGGGAGGGAGACAGGGTTTTTTTTGCAGTAGTATAGTTGCGGAACCCTGGTTAGTCGACAGCGGCGGCGTTGTTCCTGGTTATATCGAAGCGGGAACACTAATCGACTCGGAGACGTCGTTTTCCTTGCAATGACGGTGGGAGAAGACGATTACGACGGAGGGAGGAAACGTCCGGTGGGGCAGTTTATAGGGAGGAAGACAGGGAGTTTTTTTTTTTGCAGTTTTTCTGATTTTTTTGTGATTTTGATTTTGCACGATTTGCAGGAGCGCGTGATAGGCTGATCAGGTGCAGGGGGCAAAATTGGAAAACAGGTGGCTGACACTAGAGTATGGGCTTTTCTTACATGCCATAAAATATTTT